CATTCCATGGAATACTATTCAGCAATAAAAAGGAACACATTATCGATACACACAACAACATGGGTGAATCTTAAAAACATGTTAAGTGAAAGAAGCCATCGAGAAAGAGTACATATCACATGATTCCATTTACATGAAGTTCTGGAACAGACAAAGCTAGCATATGAGGATAGAAATCAGAACAGCAGTTGCCTCTAAGGACGTGATTGATTGATGGACATGTTCTATAATTGATTGTGGTGGTGGTTATATGAGGGTATGCATATGTAAAAACTCATTTAACTGTACATTTTATTGTATGCAAATTATACTTCAATGAAAATAACGTTTATACTTAATCATAGATAAATTAATGAAGAAAACGTGGAATGCACAGAAAAGCACAAAGTAAAAACAAACTCAAAAATCACTTTCAATCACCACCCTCCAGAGATAATCAGTACTTGTTTCCATAGTCATCATTTCACATATTTGGGCTCCTACTACTCACACTGCTTTGTAGCCTGACTGAAAAATCTGTGCTATGCGATGCGCTTGCTTTCTATCTCTTCCAGCTGCAGTCCACATCCACGCCCACCTCCACCTGACTGCACCAATGGGCTTCACCCGCCCTTTGGCTTCCTGCTGGATTCGGCTAATGGGAGCAACAGCAGGAGACTAGAGGGCAGGAGGAGAGAGAGGTAGGGGTATTTATCCTTCTGGCTTCCATCTGATAGGTCACCTTAGGCTGGCTTTGTCCCTCAACTAAAGACCACGGGACCTTCCCAGCCAGCGGTTTAAGGACTCTGCTTCTGGTTTCTGATAACTTCTCCCTCACCTTTGTGCTTCTGCAAAATTCCTTGAGGTTTCCTTAAACCCCACGCACACCTTCCTAATTAGTCCCTTTGTAAATAAACCCCCTGGAATTAGCCTTGAGTGAGCCATGAGTTTCTTGCTCAGACCCTGAATGATGCATTTGCTAAATTTCCCCGTCAGCCATTTTAAACGGCTGCCTGGTATTCCGTGGTATATCATGATTTGTTTAACCAGTACCCTCCTGCCGGGCACTTTTCCCTGTTATAATAATAACGGCCTCGTACTGATCTGCACAATAGCCTTTGAGATCTGTATGTAGATATCTCATTGGGGGCTGGGGCTTATTAACTGCTAAGTGCAGGAAGGGATGAAACGACGCGAAGAGGCAGTCAGCTCCCAGCCCGGTTCCGCTCCAGAGCGAGCCCACCTCCTCGCCTCCCCCACTCTGGCCGAGAGCGGGGAACCGCGAGCACGCCGGGATGCGCGTTTCCATGGCGACAGGGGCGGAAGTCCCGCCCCCGCCGGTCCGCCTCCGGTTTCCTGTGATCCCTTGCGAAGCGCTACGTAGCCGGAAGCTGGTGGCGGTCGGGTCGGCGGGGAGCGCGCAGCTTGGGTGCAGCTCCGCGGCCCGGCCCGACCCGACCGACCCCGGCCCCACCGACGCCGACCAGACCGACCCCTAACCGACCGACCCCGGCCTGGCTCGGCCCCGGCGCCCCACCCACCC